TGGCAGAATATCTCTTTGATAGATATATATTTTTTTATTCCCTCTTCCTTTCTCCCTCTGTCTCTCTATCTGTAGGATATGAGGTATAATTTGATATAGAGAGTTATAGATATTGTCAATCTCCTGAAGATCTTCCTTCCTCCAGAGTTTAGATCCAGCATAGCAATATCACACATGATTTTCAAATATAAACCCCTTGATTCAGAGCTGTTTCACCTGGATTCGTGTACTAAACCCAACATAGTTATTATTCATTATTATGAACAAATTGAAAACAGTGTGTGCTGTTTCTGCTGGTTTCGTGTGAACCACCTAAAAGCATCTGTAAAACCATTAGCTCATCTTTGTGCATGTGTATTTAAATATGTTTATGCATTTGAGGACTCTTCTTCTAAAAAGCCGATTTTAAAGCTACGCCACAGGGGATGCGCCTTCAGAGACATAATGACTGTCAGTTTCCCTACAGACATTTGAGATCTTTGAACGAGAAACTGTTTGATATATCAGTGTGGGATCGTATAATTATATAGATAAACTGGCTCTTGAAGGCTGTGTTTTGTGTTGGCATATCAATAACTTCCCATCATCATCATAATGACCACCAGCAATTACAGTAATGTGCTGTGATATGTTATTCAGAATTTAAATAAGAAAGCCTTTTAAATTCTAATTCCCAAATGTGAAATTAACTTTAATAGACCTTAGTCAGGGTAGCGCCATATTTAATTTTTGGCAGGAATGAAAACGAGGCTGTGAGGGATAGAATTACAGTGCGTTTAATGAATTGTACTGTTGTTCATCAGCTGATGAATGTTATTTTGTTTTCAGAATTGTGATTTGCTTTGCACTTCTCGGCCACCGTAGATGAAACTTTTTCTTTTAAACCAAATATCATCAATGTATTAAAAGTTGGTCAGTATTTATTTTTTATAAAGTTATATGAGTGGAGTAATGTGGTGGACACTTTGTGTGATGTATTACAAAAATAATAAAAAATATACTCAATATCAGGAAGTAAATAGAGGAAAATAATGATGACATATAGGCTATTTGTGGCGTTGTGTTGAAATTCAGAATTTTGTCTAACCCAAGTCTGTACAGGAAGAAATTGCAATTAATGCCAATCCATGTTATTAGAAGGGTTCAGTTTGCTGCTTTTGTTTAGCTTTGGGCAGGATATAAACCTGAAGATCTCAAAAGCAGAGCAGTGATGTATGAGAGCCCAAGACAGAGAGTTTCTGGAGACTGAGTGAGCTGTCTTGGTAAATCCGGCAAACACCATGAAGATATCATTAACATACTGAGCAATTAACAGCATCTCCTGTGGCTAGTAAGGTGCAGAATACAAATCTTTTTCCTTCCATCCTGATGATTTCTGATGCATCAAGCCCGTCTCCCTGCCGTTTTGTGGTCCCACGATACAGGAAAGCCATCGCCCTCTCATTCCGATTACACAAATATTTGCATTTGGCATTTACAGCTGATTTGGGCGGTACTCCCTCTGAGCTACGCAATGTTTCCCTCACAAATTGAAGGTTTTCTGTCTGTAATGACTGAGTAATATAATTCACCCTACTGAGAGGATCCAACACTCGCAATATTTACATCTTGACATTTCAATCAGCGGACTTTGATAAGTTGGTATTAAAACAAGCAGAGAGGAAACCACACAGAAACTGAGAGAACATCTCAGTCTCACTATAAAACAGATTCAAAACTAAAAAGAGGAAAAAAATTAATATTAAGAAAAGAATATATTTAATATTATTACATAAATATTTAAAATGTTATATATTTATTAATAAAATATTAAATACATATCTGTCTGTCTGTAAATTGATAGATAGATAGATAGATAGATAGATAGATAGATAAATATTAAATACATATCTGTCCGTCTATAAATAGATAGATAGATAAATAGATAGATAGATAGATAATTAAATAAATGTATATATATATATATATATATATATACACTGCAAATGCAATAAACATTCATTTAACAACATTAGATGTAAGATTAAACCCTAATGGACACAACTGAAAAGAAAAACTAAGAAGAAACGTTATTTCACCAAAAAAAAAAAAACTTAAAATATGAAGTGTCATGCAGGGAATTCTGGGAGTGTCAATTTACGGTTTGTCGCTGTAAATTATACAATTACTTTTTTTTTCACTTCCAAAAACCGTATTTTTAACTAGTATTTTACTGTAAAATTACATTAAATGTAATAACATTTATTCACCGAATATAGTATGGAGACTTACTGTTAACCAGTTAACAGGTTTTTACTGTAGCATTTTTACAGTCTTTTACTGTTAAAATGACAATCATTTTTTACAGTGTAGTGTATATTGTAACACAAGATATCCATTTTGAATAAATGCAGTTTTTTATTTTATTTTATATTCATAAAATAATCCTGAAAAAGGTATCACAGGTTCCAAAAAACATGAAGCAGCACAACAGTTTCCAGAAATGATAATAATTCAGCATATTAGAATGATTTCTGAAGGATCATGTGGCACTGAAGACTGGAATAATGATGCTGCAAATTCAGCTTTGCATCATAGGAACAAATTATATTTTAAAGTATATTAAAATAGAAACTGTTATTTAAAATTGCAATAATATTTCACAAAATAACAGGGTTTTTTCTGTATTTTTGATCAAATAAATGCAGCCTTGATGAGCACAAGAAACTTCGGTAAAAAATATAAAAAATCTTACTGATCCCAAACATTTGAACGGTAGTGTATATATATAGTATGCTACAAATATTGTTGACTCCTTGTCAAATTGCCTTAGTTCCTCTTTTGTTAGTAGCTTTGGATAAAAGCATCTGCTAAATCTATAAAGGTACATTAAATAATAAGATATTTTTTAATAATATATGTTTAATATATAATATAGTTCTATCTATAAATGATACATACATACATACATACATAGGAAATAGCCAAGTAGGAAATTGTGAAATACTAAATTGAAAGACAGAAATGAAAACCCAGGACAAGAGAGAGGGAGAGGAAAGAGAAAGTGGAAGGTGAGAAAGCAAGAAATGAAGAGAAAGGAAGAATAAAGAAACATAACTCCCCTAGGACAAACACACACTCCCAGACCCCCGACCCGAACTCCTCCCGGGCGCTGTATGGCAGTGTGTGTGTGTGTGTGTGTGTGTGTGTGTATGTGTGTGTGTGAGAACAATGCCTCCGTTCAAATCTTCAGGGGACATATTGTGGAATCCCATCATGTTGGGAACACAGAAATGAAATGCCCTGTCACTGCAGTTAGTGAGATGCATGATGAGAAAGAATATGGTTGAAAGAATCGTTTCTCAGCTGAGAGGTCGATCTCTCGGGACGGTTGACATTTACACATTTCGCACACACACACACACACAGGCTGTTGACCAGCAGCGTCAACCCCCATTTTGACCCAGTCAGGATGGATTAATCTGATGTGAGGTAATGTGTGCGGAGATTGAATTGATTGGCTGTTTCACCCTGCGCTGCCCATCCACTGAAGGACAGAGCCATTCCAAAAGCAACATAAAGCATGCTCTGTTCTGAAGGATATTTCATTCTGGCACTCACAAGAATTTCCTCTTCCAACTAGCTAAAGGTCATTCCATTCGAACACTGTTGTAACATTTGATCGTGTTGGTTGCTTCATTTTAGTCCTTTACATCACAGCGGCTCCATTGCTTAGCCTGTTCCTCATGTTCTGTTGCTGGTCAAGGTCTGTTCACACAAGGTCTGATGCAATTAAATGACACAAAAGCACAGAAAAAAATCTGTCCTGAAACTATTCACCAAAAAAAATCCAATTCATATTTTTTGTACAATACAAAAATCTATTTATTTAATCAACATTTTTGTCTTGCTTTCAAGGAATATAGCTTAGAATATAACTTGAAATAAGTGAACCGTATTGTTTTATTATTTTCTTGTTTTAAAAGTAAATGAATGTTATTTGAGATTTATTTACCTTTATTTAAGGTAAAGAAGACAAAACCTTTTCAATGGGGTAAGAAAAAGAATAAAACTTGAAGATATAGTCTTTGGAACAATTTTGCAACTAAATCTTGAAGGACGTTTTAAAAATGACTGGTAATCGATACTAAAATAATATTTAAATATATATTTATTTATTTAGCTAGCTACTGTAGCTTGCAGTGTGATTCTCTTACTGAATTAATTGCTCAGCATTCTAGCAAACATAACTTCTGAATAAAAAATGAATAGTCACAGTCTAATATTTCACATACAATGAATAATAGAGATGTAATGTTTTGTATAAAATGTCATTATTGTTGCAAATAAGCCTTTACTTGTATGCCAATGCACTTGTCTATCCTGCATGTTTATTATTAGTTATAGAGGAAGTCCAGCAACAGAATTACGATGTCATGGTGTACATATCACAAAACCTTCATGACTGGAACAAACAGCTGGCTTTAGTTTTTTTTTTTCTTGAAAACTAAAGCCAAAAACGAAGGCACAACTTGCTTTCATGACCAATAAATCTGGAACAAGCAAGTGAGATTTGGAATAGAGGGCCCAGCACAGATTTAGAGGTTTTATTTTGGGCGCTATTAAAAAAAGGGCCCCAAAGCTGCAGTATCGATCTATGTGCAAGTCCACATAATATCCCCTGTACTAAAAGTCCCTCCACAAACAGGGATCAGAAACTTTATACCACCTAACAGTTAGAAGAGTATCCCCCGTAAACACGGCGGCTGATGCTAAACCCGCTCCAGCCATTAAGGGGCATGTTCACAAGCTCAGACTAAATTTCAACTGAAGCCTCTGGTGTTTGTAGGGTGAAAGCCACTAAGCTGTACTGATCCACAATAAACTGTTTTGAATGCTTCAGACAAGGTGGGTGGATTGAGAAAGATCAAGAGCGATCTTTAAAAAAATGAATTCAGACATTTGTTTTTCACTCATTAGCGGCGTTTTCTCTTTATTCGAATAGAACTCTGTGTGAGGAGCGATCACAGACGGTTAAGTGTTCCTGCTTCCCAGGACAAGTCGCTGGAACAACAAGGGCTGCACCCTCCTGTGTGGATGGTAAAATGGACCTTCAATTCATTTCAATTCCTATTTCCATGTATTTAGTGTTTGGGTGAACTGTAATGTTTCGCAAATTCGCCCCTATATACACAAGATTAAAGGGTTAAATGAGAAGTTGTGTCCTGTATTTTTCATTCTTTTACTCCACCTCTCTCTTTTTCTCTCATTCTCTGTCTTTCGGTCTCTTTGTCTCCCTCAGCTGTCTGGCTGTTTCATTTAATATTGTGTCAACACTGTCCACTTGACAGAGAAATCGATCGTTATCTTATTTTGCCTGACTGTAAACTCAATAAACTCAAAAAATAGCTCAAGTGTCTCTACACACAGCGCTCTGTGTGAGAGGAAATGTCAAATAAGCCATGTTTCACCCCATCACATGCTTCATTCTTTCTCTCTGTATCATCTCAAATAGCTCCTCATCTGTTTGCCATTTTCTTGCTCCTGAGCTGCTCCATGATCCTCTGTATTCAAAGGGGTCATATAATTGTTTTTTTCCATTTTATTTCTTTCCCTGGAGTCCACTTACAATTTTAACTGAGATACTAAAACACTCTTAATTTGTAGGGCTTAAATTTTAATGGAATTAATAACATTAATTATAATTAATTACTGATGGGTGAAAGATGGACACCTTTGGTTGTTGTATCACATCTTCCATTGTAATTGGCACATTTTTAAGATGGCATGTGTATAGCTGAAAGAGTTAAACTTTCAAAAATGCATTCAGTTACATTCCATCCAGCTGTTTTTGAGCACAAGTACACATCTTGTTTAAGTACTTATTCTGTACTGCCTGCTCTCGATAAGCATGATTTGGTGAAGCGTATTGCCTTTAGTAGTGTACATGTCAGGGTGCATGATTAAATGCATGATTTTTTTTTTTATAATTAAGTGCACTAAATTAACAAGTTAAATCAACAGGCCTAGTCATTTAGTTGTTCATGCCAATTTTCCACCCTTTATTCAACCCTCAGAAATTAGCAGGCTGCATTTGCTATGACCTCTTTTACAATTGGCTAACATATGTGACCCTGGACTACAAAACCAGTCTTAAGTCGCTTGGGTATATTTTTAGCAATAGCCAAAAAAACATTGTATGGGCCAAAATTATCAATTTTTCTTTTATGCCAAAAATCATTAGGATATTATGTAAAGATCATGTTCCATGAAGATATTTTGTAAATTTCCTACCGTAAATATATCAAACCTTAATTTTTGATTAGCAATATGCATTGCTAAGAACTTCATTTGGACAACTTTAAAGGCGATTTTCTCAGTATTTAGATTTTTTTGTATCTCAGCCAAATATTGTCCTATCCTTAGCTTATTTATTCAGCTTTCAGATGATGTATAAATCTCAATTTTAAAAAAAATTCACTTATGACTGGTTTTGTGACCCGGGGTCACATATGTCTTTGCAAAGCCTGCACTACATTGTGAAAAGACTATCTGCACTGAAATAATTTGGGACCTATACATTTCTAACAGTGAGTTTCTTCAAAAGGAAATGCAGAGTTGTAGGTGCTACACCCATCTAGAAACAATGCAAACTTTGCCTGATTTGTTTCATTCCATTCCATGATATGACCCCTACTTCTTTTAAGTGAGTGTCTCTGTTTGTACTGACCTTAGTGTACTTGTTCATGTTCCCCGTGATGTGTGTGTAGTGTCTATAGTAGCTCAGAAGTGGTGGTGTCAGATGCAGCCGTGCTTGGATGGTGAGGAGTGTAAAGTCCTGCCTGACCTCACAGGCTGGAGCTGCAGCACAGGAAACAAGGTGAAGACCACCAAGGTTAGTATACACTCCCACACATACACCTCAAAACACCCACCTTTTGGCCTGTGGGATGCCGTAACTTTCAAAGCTGTCAGGGTCATTCACACTCCAAGTGCAATACTCCAGCATAAAACACATCACACAGAAATATTAAGTAAAACAGTCAATATTTATTAGATTGATTTTATCTATGTATTTATTTTTTTCATAATTGACATTATCTGATTTTGTTTATCATCTATATTTTTTTCCAATGGGCTTGCTAGTGTTTTTTTGTGTGTGTGTGTGGGTGTGTTGAAATATACAAGCAATGATGCCTTAGAATGTGGCTAAAATGTGTCTCTCAGTATTTAAAATGTGGTCTAGATAGGCAGCACACTAGATTTTGGAACAAAGCCTGTCTCTCTTTCTCTCAGTGACCTAATTCCTGTTGTTGTGAACACGCTCCGTACCATACCTTAGGAGTTCATGTGGAGAGAGTCTGAAGTTTGTTGGAACTGACATCAAACACAGTACAGCCTGATTTAGGAAAAAAAAGAAGAACAAAACAGAGAAACATAGACAACCCCTTTTTATCCTGCCAATAAAGCTTCTTGAATTTTGACAAAGAGAGACAGAGAAAGAGAAAGAGAGAGACAAGCACAGCAACAAACACACAAGCACTTATGTTATGAGTGACAGATGTGAAGTGACTGACTGAGACTGTTCTCAACAGAAAAAGTCAAAGGCAGAACAAAGCAGTAAATATAATGAAGTGACCAGAAGACTTGATGTCAACATTTATTCTGATCTCTAGTCACTGGAGAGCAGGGTACAAAATGAAGTCTTGCCAAGTGGAAAATTTGAGGAAATTTGTTTTTTTACTTTAGGAACAAAAAATAAATGGTTTATATATATCTGGCCATGAACGTGCACTATGCATTTGGCTATTTTGTATTTTACCCTAATGTATGATGCACATTCAAGGCCAGTAAGAAGTTTATTACACGTATTACTGCCAATTTTTGTCAGTTCACTCGACATTGATAAGTGTGACAGAAAGTTAATTTTGGACTCTGCTGGAGAGGAAGTATCCAGGACTCAAATCAAATTATGCACACACAACTACATATATTATTATTATTATTACAATATTAACCAGTAGAATATGTATTTTTCCATACACTGCAATTATAAATATTGAAACTTCCAATTAAAAGTTTTGACAGATATACATTTTCTAGACTTACTTAGCCTCTACTCTGTTTTATTGTAGAGAACAATACATGGAGATGTATCTGGAGAGTTTTCATCCATTACTGTAAAAATGAGAGTCATGGTAATTTTAATTATTTTTTAAAGAGTTCTATAAAAAAATAAAGAGCAGAAGAGGAGGAGAAGAAAGAGTCTGGTTTGATCAATGGCTGATAAGCTATTCTGTGCCATCATACCTCTCATAACATAAAATGCACACATAACACTGATCCATATTTCATCATAGTGAATTCATGTGAACCTACATGTGTGTGACGAAGTGTTTTTGAATGCATGTGATGTTTCTTTAGATGTAGTGAAATCTTGTGAATTCTTGAAATCGTGTGTGTGTGTGTGTGTGTGTGTGTGTGTGTGTGTTAAAATAAGTTTATATATTATTTTGGACCATGCACACACAGCCCTCTGTCACATTTTTCTGTCTCACACATGCACACACATGCACACACATTCTATCTGTCTCTCTCTGTAGGGGGATCTTGTTCCCACAATGTAGACAAAATCTGACCCAAAGATGATTGTTAGTAGTGCCTGCTAACAAAAAATTAATAAAGACTTGTCTCTCTTTTGGCTCGAGCAACCACCTAATGTTCCAACAAATATCCAGAACACCTGCATAGCAACACCCAAACCACCCGCTGAAAACCACCCAAAATACCCTACAGCCTCATGGTAGCACTCACATTTTCTTAAAAGTTATATTACAGCATGTATATTGTCTTTTTATATGAAAAACAAAAACGTTATTTACTTTATGAATAATTTTTACCTTTGAGAACATCCCCAGAGGCTTTATCAGGTCCTATAAAAGTACAGCTACATAAACCCACACAAACACATTCATTCTCATTACAGATGCAACTGTGCTCAGAATGAGACCTACAGCACTGAACCTTCAGCTCTTTAACTCAATCTGAAATGTTTTAAAGTGATCTCACTTCTCTAAGTTTGTATTCAGTATTGGACCACATGCTGATCAAAACTTTTAACCAAGATTAATAAGTGAACTTACATGCAAATGATACATCACATTAAAAGAAACAGAAATCAAGAGAAAGAAGCTGGAGATCTTATATATTCCAAGGACCTACAGTGCAGGTTTGTAAGAATATAAGAGAGTTGCTTTGATCAGGTATGGATGTTTATAATGATGGATCAGCATGGTAACTGTTCGTTCTATGCCAGCACACCTCTTGCAACATAAACCTTGCCAAAACTGAAAGAGACACTGGGAAGAGGAAAGAAAGAGGAAGACTGAGAGGGTGGATCAAGTATCGGGCATCGTGCCATGCCACTCTCCTCAGTCGTCCCTCTGTGCCAACTTGGAAGGCATGGTGCCAAGTTCTAAATGAATGAGTTTGCTTGGGCGCCAACTGTTTCACCCACAGCTCCGGCGGACCATGCCCATCAGCGGCCAGGACAAGAAGTCTGTGCAGATAAATGTCAAGCATTAATGAAATCTGTACTAACAGAGATGGAGAACCAGACGACTTCTTCCTCTGCACAAAATGGGCACATATAGTTCATAGTGATTAATATTTTGGGGTTATTGGAGTAAACACAGGTGCAGGTGTGTCTAATGGGAAAATACCCCAAATTGTCAAACCTAAACTCTTCCTTGTTCTCTATTCCAGGTGACCCGATAGTTCTACGCTCCAAGGAACCACCAGACCCAACTTACTGGGGACAAAAGTGCTGAAAGTGAAGACTAACTAGAGACAGCATTGAGCTTCAGCTAACAGGATCCATCACTATTAGTCATACGAAGATTACTTGCAATCAAAACATCTGAGGAACAGACTGATCTCCAGAAATATATCCACCATAAACATTAGGACCATCCTGAAGTTAATGTGTCCTCCTCAATGGACCCCCTGGCCTTCCGGACGCTCAATCTTCTGGGTGTGGATCCACAACCTCTGGAATGTGTTGGCTGGGGGGTCTCGATGTACGTATGCAGTTGTTGTTGTTTTTTTACAGAAGATGTTTGGATCATCTACACCAGTGCAGCCCAATGGAGTTTAAGCTTATCAGCAACATGCTCTCCTTCCTTGTCCTTCAGTTCTTCCGGCAAATCCATAACCATCCCTGCTCTACCCGATCAGAAGGTCCAATCATTTCTTGTGGAATCCTTTAAACAGCATTTAAACGTGTAAAATCGATCTGGACCTTTAACGGACTCATCTTCTGTATAATGTTTGTTTCTAAATTAAAGCTTTTCAAACCCACAGTCTGAAATAACAGATTAGATGTACCAGTATATTCTAGAAAATGTAAAAGTGTAAAAGATCGAAGTGTTATTCTCAAAACAAGCAGAATAAAGTTTAAAGGTTATCACTTTTATTATCAATGTTTTTATCCAGCCTGGTAACTGCTATTGAGTACATGTGTCAGTATTATATACAATAATTAAAAATGTCGAAAAGAATTTTTCTCCATACTCTGATTTCAGAGGCTGCAAGCTAGTGAAACCTAATGGCTTGTTGTGCCACAAATAACATGATTTATTCAGGTTTCCTCCACCGATACTGATACGCAGAAAATAACATAATCAGCATTATATATGTATCGTGTTTTCTGACCTTTACGCCTTAAGACAAAACCGCAGTCACTCCAAATGCACACCCTCATGTTTCAAAAGGAACTAAAATAACTCTTTGCAGTGTAAATATACGCTCTCTGTGCACCACCTCTCTCTGTCCTTCCCTTTCTGACAACAAAATGGGATTTGTTTTTGTCTAATCGAATGCTCAGATCTGTTCAATGCACATGCTATTTAGCTTTGAGGAAATCTTGAGAACGTTTGCGCATGTCATTAAGAGATTAGAGAAATTAGCCCAAAATAAAATTAATTAATACTAACCAAACGGGAGCACAGAGAGAGAGAGAGAGAGAGAGGGGTGCACAAAGAGAGATATTTGAAAGTGAAATGATGCATAGGCCGTGTATGGAGATGCATGCTGATATCGTAATACATTATATCATGAAACACACACCCAGAGGCGCATGTACACATATTGAAGCTCACCGTCGCAGAAATTCCCCCCACACAACAACGAGACTGTGAGTTTTAAAATTCAACGGAACATTGCGGAATAATAATAGGCGCAGCTCACTTCTAAAGCATCTGGGATTGTTGGGCTACCTTGAATCAGTAGGAATCTGGCAAAATACAAACAGGTGAACAAATATGCACACACATATTGTCAGGCGCTGCCACCGCACTGTCTTTCTCTCATTCGCACACACCAGGAAATGACACGTCACCCTGGGATGTAGGTGTTGAGACTTGGTGCCGCTTATGCAAATACAACTTGCAGATTTAATGAAGTCTGACGGCAGAGGGAAAAGACCAGGAGAGATACCATGCACACTCTGACAGCACAGACGAAAATAAAATGTGAGCTAGAGGAATAAATAAGAAAGAAAGACGAGAAAGAAAGGGGGAAAGAATCACTGTGCGGTTGTTGTGTGACTGTGCGCATACATGTAGCAGGTACTGTATATTGTATGCGTATTTGAAAGTGCGCATGTACGTAACACATTAATGCTAGGAGTTGCATGTATATGAATGTGATGAGATGTGATAACTGTATGATAGGTGCGCATAAAAAATATGTAATTCTGTAGGTGAGGTATATGTTTACCCGCAGCCATTTGCAAGATAGTTAGGGCTATACAATTAGTTATGGTTCTTGAATCTGATTGGACGAGGGCCGTTCCAAGAATGCCTCTTTCTGCACTGTACATAGTCTTTGAGAGTGAGTCGTTGAATTATTCAGTCAACCGATTAATTCAAAACACTGATTCATTCACTCTTAAAAATAAAGGTTCAAAATTGGGTTTTCACTGTAATTCCAAGAACCGTTTTTGGTTTCCCAAGGAGGCTTTCAGTGAACAGTTAACAGAACCATTTATTTGAAAATGTAAAAAATCTAAAGACCCTTTTTCCATTATGAAGAAACTTTTGTGGAATGGAAAGGTTCCATGGATGTTAATTGTCCTTCATGGAACCACTAATGCCAATAAAGAACTGTTATTTTTTAGAGTGTTTGTGAAAAAAAAACTTACTGTCACTATGAGTGAGTCTTTGAATCATTCACTAAACCAATTTGTTCAAAAACACTGGTACATTTAGAAACTAAATATAGCTACTATGTGTTGCTCTTAAATGCACATCGGTAATTAACCTTTGACTTCATTTGGAACTTTTATCGCTGGTGCAACCAACATACCAACCAACCAACATCCACAATACCGTTTCTAAAAAGTAGTTTATTGAACTGTTAATAGCAATATCACAGAGTATCACCCTATATATCAGCATGGCTCTGATTATCTAAAGCCAAACCACAGCCATGGTGATATTCAGAACTCGCACTCCGCTTGATTAATATGCACATGTGACCGTGACAACACAGAATTTCAACGCTTATTATTTTATAAATTATTACTCTTATTAATTATAAAGGTTTTGCTTTAAAGATGCAAATATTACAGAATAAATCAGCATAAAATTACAAGTGGGTAGAGGATAGCAGCTTAACCCAAAACATCTGTAGATTATAAATTAGCATTATCACCATCACACACACATAGCTACAAAAACACGCAGATGAATGCATATTAATCATGCTTTATCTGGCTGGTTTGTGTAAGTGTGTCTTCCACCATTCCGAAGTTTAACATCGGTGACCTACATAACTGTTTGCTGATAAAAACACATCATTCCTCATTATTTTCATATCAGCCAGGCAGATGAACAATAATAGAGGAAAGATTGGATAGAGATTGGAAATGTTGTCTTCATAGTTTTTCGAATAGAAATTTGCATCAAAACACTGGTTGGGGCTTTAATGCAGTTCGGCTAAATTATGATGCATTAATAGCAACCTCCCAGCACACAAACACAGTACACACACTAAATTGTGTGTGTATGTGTGTGTGTGTGTGTGTGAGAGAGAGAGAGTTTGTCACATACTGTATTCTTCAGCCTATAGCAATGTCTGAAAGGACATTCATTTTTCAAGTGTAGAAGAAATGGAAGGTTTCAGCCCCAAATTACAAAGTGACGATAAATGTTTGTGACCTGCAGTTGGCTCTTAACATGCTCACAGAAGAGTCGTTCCCTCCAGAGGCCCGAGAGGCCTGTGGTGTTCAGAACAACAGAGACAAGCCAATAGGTGAATTGGGTGTATGCCACTGACAACAAGGATAAAAGAAACAGCAAGTAATATTGAGGAGAAATCTTTCTGTCTGCTCTTGGGTAGAGCCCCTCTAGCATAATAATGTGAGAGGACACCAAGATCTTTCAGGAGCCAAACACTGCTCAGCTAAATCTAGCAGATCTTAATAATTCAGCTGGCATGATGGTAACATTTAACTGACCCCTCTGTCATTCTGCTGTTCCAGATTCCACAAGACAACATTCCCCATCAAAGTAAAGTGTTTGTTGACATTAATTATTCACTAATAGCAGTACTAAATCTAGTACTGCTATGGTCTAAGAAAATGTTGTTGTTATTTTTTTCTTTGAGGTCATACTCTGGTGAAAGCAGTAATGCATGTGGACTGGTTGGTTCAGGTTTTTCCTACATTGCGAGGACCAAATAAATCTGAAATTATGGGGACAATCCAACAGTCCTCACGAGGAAAAAGGTTTAATAAATATAGTAAATGTTCAAATGCAGAGCAGAGTTAATTTATATAATGTGAAATGTTAAAATGTGTTATAGAAGTAGTACATTTGAATAAATAGTGAGAGATTTTTTGTACTTACATTTCTGCTTGCAGTTACGGCACTTGTGCAAACGAAATAGATAAATAAATAAATCTTGCCAAATTATATTTTAAATATATGCTAAATATATGTTACCAACAACGTTCCACAGCTAGGAAATATATGTTTCAAATTGAACATATATGGGTTTAAAACTTCCTCTTATATCTTTTTATATTTTCTAGCTGTTTCTTATATATTTCCTCTCATTTCTCTGTTCACATTATTATTTTTCTTTTTTCCATGATTCATTTTACTAAGTTTAATCATGTCTCTGGAGATCCAGTCCTCGGTGATGCCGAAGGAACAAGTGGAAATTTGTGGAAAAGTCAATGAAAAGTAGCTTGACTCTTTTAAAAAAGTCACATTTGGTCTAAATTCTTATTTATGAGTGTTTCTGGGGCTGTCATATGTTCAACTAAATATCCTGAACTTTTTATTATTTTTTTTATTTTTGAGGAAAATCCATGCTGAGAATGTTGTTGATTCAGTGGCAAACATAAAATATTAACTGCACGAGAAGCTTAAAATGGCAAGCCTAAAATAAACAGCCCCTATCTGAGTCACATCTACAGGCTTATAGGTCAGACTGCTGCTGGCACAGAGGAAGCTTCCCTTCACTCATCTTTAAGTAGAGTCTGTACCCAGATTCCTTGACGTTTCCCGAAAATGTGCCAGTGGCAGAAAATAGTTCAGTGTGTGAGGGTTTGTAGATTCCGATGCTCTAATTTGGTCCTATAGGACTTGCCGAGCTAATACGACTCCTGTGGTCAAATTCCTTCAGATGCTGCCAACAGTCTCCACCGCTGTGATCCAGTGATCTCCAGAGCTGGAGTTTAATGCTGTGGTCTAATTGCTTAATTAATACTGCGGTTTTTGCTGGACTTTATGCTATGGTGTTGTGGCACTTTTAAGTTTTATGATGCATCAAATGTAGTTCAGTGGTGCATCTTAGTCTTTAGTTTAATGTGCTCTTGTTTATTCATGCAGTCTATTGCTCCAGTGTAACCATGCAGCGTAATGTTATAGAATAATCACATTTGCCCTATGCTAACACATTTACACACCCTGTTTAAATTTGTTGTGATTATCAGATACCAGGACACTAGTGCCATTTAGCATCACACTGTCCAGTGTGTGTGTGTGTGTGTGTGTGAACAGATGGCCCCGTCACAGAGCCATTAGCACTGAAGAGGATGAGTACAGAGCAACAACAGATGAACAGAATGAGTGAAAGAGAGATAAAAATGAAAAACAATGAGAGGATGAGAGAGATACATGAGTTTTATGAGTGTGTTATATGGTTTAAACTTTGAAACTCTATGAAATGTTTAATTTAGTCCATGGGTTGTAGAGTTCGGTGTTCTGCCAAATACTTCAGTTTTCACCTTTTTACATACCAAAAGCTCGATATGAATGCTTTATGGTTTATGGAAAGGGTTTTAAAACTGGCATCTGCAGGTTTCTGAAAAGTTCAGAGGGGGAAAAAAACAATTAAGAAATTGTTACTACTAATAATAATTGACATTCTCAGAATGTGACATTATTGGGGTTTCATTCTGCTTTTAAAACACTGGCCAGAAATCATTAGATTAATCAAAAATGAACCCAAAGATCACTGTGGCTGAGCTCCAGAGATGCAGTCGGGAGATGGGAGAAAGTTGTAGAAAGTCAACCATCACTGCAGCCCTCCACCAGTCGGGGCTTTATGGCAGAGTGGCCCGACGGAAGCCTCTCCTCAGTTCAAGACACATGAAAGCCCGCATGGAGTTTGCTAAAAAAACACCTGAAGGACTCCAAGATGGTGAGAAATAAGATTCTCTGGTCTGATGAGACCAAGATAGAACTTTTTGGCCTTAATTC